GCCGCGGCGGCCAGATCGGCGCCGCTCGCCTCCGAGAGCGGGCGCGCGCCGCCCGCGCAGGGCCGTCGGCCTTCACCTCCGCCTCCGCACCCTCGTGTTCCTGCGCCTGCCGAGCAGGGGGGCTAAAACGACGCGAAGATCGGGACAAACTCGGATCGGGATAACTCGAAATCTCTGAGAATCGGCGGGTTTGGGAGATGTATTGGGCGCCGCGGCCGCTCCAGAGCGTTCCGGAACGCTCTGGGAGCGCTCCGGAACGCTCTGGAGCGATTTATCCCGATCCTAGCCCTGTTTTGCGCAGGGCCCTCGGCCTTCACCTCCGCCTCCGCACCCTCGTGTTCCTGCGCCTGCCGAGCGGTGGGGCTTCGGCCGCGCCACCAGGTGGAGGTGTCGGGACCGGCCCGGGCTGCTCGGGGGAGCCTGTCGTCGCCAGCTCAGGCGACCTGGCAAAGCTGTCTGTGCGCAGCCGGCGCTCGCCCGCGTCCTTTCCCTCCGCCTTCTCTTCCTCGTGTTCCTGCTGAGACACTGCTGGCGGACAGGCACGCTCCGTGATACTACAGAAGCGGACTGGGTGGCGCTGGCCACCCTATCGTACATCACCCTCGCCGCGGCAGCGGTAAGCGTGCAGCCCAGAGCGAGGAGTTTGATGTCGGCAGCCGCAAAGTGCACGATCCGCTCGAGTGTATGTTCCTGCTGATGGTGATCCTGCTGCTAACTTGCGCCCATTTCGGATCGAGGATCGGGCATTCCGCATGCGTGCTCCAGCTCGAGTGGGGCCCTCCGAGGTCCTCGGGAACGTCCGGGGGCCTGTTATCAACGTCTTGGGATCAGGGTCCAGCGCGGCACTGAAACTTACCAGCTTCTGCTGATGATACTGGTGCTGCTCCTCCTTCTCCATACTTTGCTCCCGCTCTTCCCACTCCACACATCGTCCTCATGCTACTCCTCACTCACCTCCCTCTCCTCCGCCTCGTCCTCGTCCTCTGCCTCCTCGTCCTCCTCCTCCTCCTCCTCCTCCTCCTTCTCCTCCTCTCCTCCTCCTCCTGCCTCCTCCTCCTCCTCCAACCTCCTCCTCCTCCTCCTCCTCCTCTCCTCTCGCCCCCTCCCCTCCCTCCCCTCCTCCTCCTCCTCCTCCTCCTCCTCCTCCTCCTCCTCCTCCTCCTCCTCCTCCTCCTCCTCCTACTCCTCCTCAGCAGCAGCAGCAGCAGCAGTTGCAGCAGCAGCAGCAGCAGTAGCAGCAGCAGCAGCAGCAGCAGTACCAGCAGCAGCAGTATCAACATACAATTCATCATCAATAGTTGCATCAATCTGACCATCGCCATCACCATAATCAGAATCAGCGTCATTAGGAGTAGCATCATCGTCATCACCATCATCATGATCGGCATCACCACCGTCATCATCAGCAACATGATCATGGTCGTCATCGTGATCAGCATCGTCATCGTCATAGTCATCCCATCATCATCTCCTTCGTCCTAACCCTCATAATCGGCATTATCAGCAGCATTATCACCACTATCAACATCATCATCCTCATCATCATCATCATCAGCATCATCATCAGCAGCATCATCAGCATAATCATGATCAGCATCATCATCGCCAGCATCAGCATCATCGTCAGAATCAGCATCAGCATCATCATCATCCTCATCCTTATCATCAACATCATCATCATCATCATCATCATCATCATCATCATCATCATCATCATCATCATCGTTGTCAACTTCATCATCATCAGCAGCATCAGCATCCGCAGTATCAACATCAGCATCATCATTATCAACATCACCGTCACAGTCATCAACACCACAACTACCATCATTCCCTGTCATCCTTCCCCACCTCCACCAACTCCCTTGCCCCCCTCCCTGCTCTCCCTCCTCGCCACCGCTTCTGGCGCCGCTTGATGCTCTTGTCGTCCTCCTCATCCGTCCCACCCTCCTCTCCGATTGCCCTGCTGATCCTCATCCCCCTCCCTTCCATCATCATCACCATCATCAACATCATCACCATCATCATCAACAGCAGCCTCATTATCATCAGAATCTTATCGTCATCTGCATCATCATCAACAGCAGCATCAGCACCAGATCAACACCAGCGTCATCATCAGCAACATCAAAAACATCAAACCATCATCATAAGCAATAAACGTCATCATCATGATCATCATCAGCACCAGCACCATCAGCATCATCATCATCAGCAGCAACATCTCCATCATTATCATCATCATCATCATCATCATCAGCAGCATCAGCAGCATCATCGTCATCGGCAGCAGCAGCAGCAAGAGCGGCGTCATCGTCGCCGCCATGGTCATCATCCGCACCACGAGTACCATCACCAGCACCAGCACAGCAATCATCATCGTTATCGCTATCATCAACCACATCATCATGATCATCATGATCGTCGACACCATCAGTAACATCAGCAGCAGCATCACCACCACCATCATCATCATCATCATCAGCATCATCATCATCAGCATCATCATCATCAGCATCATCATCATCATCACCATCACCATCACCATCATCAACATCATCACATGATCACCATGGTCATGACCAGCACCATCGTCAGCAGCAGCATCAGCATCAGCATCATCATTACTACCAGCCTCATCATCACCACCATCATCAATATCATCACCATCAACATCAGCATCAGCACTATCGTCATCACCATCATCAGCATAGGCATCATCATCATCAGCATCACCATCATCCTCAGTAGCATCATCATCAACATGAGCATCCTCACAATCATCATCAGCATCATCATCATTATCATCCAACCTCCTCCTCCTCTGGCACCTCCTGATCCTCCGCCTCCCACTTCTCCCCCTCCCTGCCCCTCCTCCTCCGCCTCCTCTTCCTCGCCGACGCTTCCGGTTGCGCTTCTTGTTCTCGTCGATGTCGTCGTACTTATCCTCCTCCTCCTCCTCCTTCTCCTCCTCCTCCTCCTCCTCGTCCTCCTCCTCCTCCTTCTCCTCCTCCTCCTACTCCTCGCCCTCCTTCTCCTCCTCCTAAACTGCCATGCTGCTCCCCCCCTCCTCATCCTTCAGCTCCTCCTCCCCCTCCTGCTCCAACTACTCCTCTTCCGCCTCCTCCTCCTCCTCATCTTCCTCCTCTTCCTCATCCTCCTCCTCCTACTTCTCCTCCCATTCCTCCCCATCCTCCCACTCATCCCCAATCCTCCCAGACAATATTCCGTCTCCTCCTCCTCCTCCTCCTCCTTCATCCTCGTCCTCGTCCACGTCGGCATCGTCGTCGAGGGCGTCGTCCTCCTCCTCCTCCCTCTTGGTGCTCCTTCTCCTTCTCCTCCTTCTCCTCTCCTCAAATTCCGCATCCCCCCTTTCCTTCTCCCCTCCCCTCCTCCTCCGCCTCCTCCTCTCCTCCTCCTCGCCTCCTTCCTCTTCTCTCCATCCGTCCTCACACCTCCTCCGCTCTCCCTAATCCTCCTCCTCTTCCTCTCCTCCCCATTCTCCTCCTCCTCCCCTCCTCCTCCTCCTCCGCCTCCTCCTCCCTCTCCTCCTCCTCCTCCTCCTCCTCCTCCTCCGCCGCCTGCCAAATCCTCCGTAACAGCAGTCTATATCCTCATCCTTCTCCGCCTCCCCCGTACCTTCCCTCCTCCCCCTACGTGCTGCCGCCTCCGCCGCTTCCGCCGCCGCAGCACGCCCTTGCCCTCATCCTCGTCCACGTCAGCATCCTCGTCGACTTTTCCTCCTCCTCCTCCTCCTCCTCCTCCTCCTGCTGCTCCTCCTCGTCCTCCTCCTCCTCTGCTGATCCTCCCGTTCCTCCTCCCCTCCTCCTCCTCCTCGTCCTCCTCCTCCCCCTCCTCCTCCTCCTCGTCATCCTCCTCCTCCCTCCCACTCCTCCTCCTCATCCTCCCTCCCTCCTCCTCCTCCTCTCTCCTCCTCCTCCTCCTCCTCCTCATCCTCCTCCCCTCCTCCTCCCCCTCCTCCTCCTCCTCCTCCTCCTCCTCCTCCTCCTCCTCTTCTTATTAGTAGTATTCTAAGTGCTCTCAGGATTATTATTCATATTCTTGTTATGTCTTATCAGTCGTAGTATTCGTATTATTCTGCTTATGTGTATATTTCTTCTTATTCGTCGTAATAGTATCCGTAGTCTTACTAGTATGATTCGTATTTTTCGTATTCGTATTTGAATTATCCTTAGTTTGCTTAGTATTATTGTTATTATTCTTATTATTAGTAGTCGTAGTAGTATTCGTCTGCTTAGTCTTCTTAGTATTATTATTATTATTCGAAAATTTGTTCTTCGTCTTATTGTTATTAATAATAGTATTCCTCATCCTCCTCCTCCACCTCCTCCGCCTCCTCTCCGCCTCCCCTCTCCTCCTACTCCTTTCTCTCTTCTCTCCTCTCTCCTCCCCTCTCCTCCCCTTCCTCCTCATCCTCCTCCTCCTCCCTCCCTCCTCCTCCTCCTCCTCCTCTCCTCCTCTCCTCCTCCTCCTCCTCCTCCTCCTCCTCCTCCCTCCCTCCTCCTCTCGCGCTCCTCCCCTGTCCCCTCCCTTCCTCCCTCCTCCTCTCCCTCTCTCCTTCCTCCTTCATCCTTCCTCATTCCTCCTTCCTCATTCCTCCTTCCTCCCTTCTGCTGCTCCCTCTCCCTCCCCCCTCTTCCCTCTCCCGCTCGCTCCACTCTCCTCACAGTTTTCCTCCCCTCACCCCCCCTTTCCCCTGGCGGGGGACGGCCAGCTGGGATATTGTTCGACTTCTAGAACCCTTCCAATTGGCTTGCACTCAAATCTCGCACATTAGCGCGTTCTATACCGAGTGCTGCTTTCCAAGGCTGACGACGCAGGGCGACGAGATAGATACGTATGCCCTGCCCCAGGCCAGGACCATCCTGCGCTCAGGAGCGGCGTACGTATTGACCCCGTTGCCCTGCGATGAGCCTTCGTTGTGATCCCATCCGATCCGATCGCCCTGCTCCGATCACCCCCCGCCCTCCCGCGCCCTCCTGGTGGTGGCCGGCCATCCCTTGAGCGCGACCCCCGAGGCCCTGCGCGGCGGAGGCCCGGGGCGGCGGTGACGGGCGACGGGCGACCGCGCCTCCGCGGGCCTCCGAGTAACCCCCCCGCGGGCCTCCGGGTGGTCCCCCGAGGGCCTCCGGATGGGCCTCCCGATGGGCGGCCGGGAGCGGCTCAGGGGGGGGGGGAGAGATAGAGGAGGAGGAGGAGGAGGAGGAGGAGGAGGAGGAGGAGGAGGAGGAGGAGAAGGAAGAGGAGTAGGATGAGGAGGAGGAGGAGGGGGAAGGTGGAGGAGGGGATAAAGTTTCCCCCTGAGCCCATCCCCAACGTTGCCCCTGAGGCAGAGGAGGGCGCCTGCCCGCACTCCTGATCTCATAGTGAGCCGCTTCTGACGACTTCGGAAAAAGGCCATAGGCCACAGGGGCACTACCGTGAACCTGCTGGCCAGATCGAGGCCGAACGTGTCCCTCCTCTATCGGCCTTCTGGGGGCCCTCCATGGGCCCTGGGGCCGTCAAGGGAACGCCCTGGGATGAGAAACGGATCCCGGGAAAAGGAACACGTCCAGACCTCGGGGATGTCCAAGTTGAGGAGAACTTGCGACGTCGGAGATCTGAGTTCGGGGGTGGGGGGCAGGAGGGGAGGGGGGCAGTCCAGCCCAGTTCGGCAGCCAGGCTATCCAAAGCGAATGGGCAGAAAAGTGCAGCACCGCGTGGGATGCAAAACGTGCTGGCGTGCACCTCGGAGCTGTGAGGCAAGGTGGGGCAGGCCAGGAGGACAGGGGGGGTGAGGAGGACGAGGAAAGGGTGAGGAATCCCCACAACCAGTACGCACGATGCCCACTGCTGCTTCGGTCTGCCACTCTTCTGTGGGGGGGGAACGAGAAGTTGTTGCTCTTGACAATGGGGCAGGACGAGGACCTCCACCTGGTACTCGCACGTAGCGCACCGGCCGGGCAACAATAGCGGGCCCGATGACCCTGGCCCAGGGGCGAGATGGTCCCCAGACGAGTGGATGGTGTCGCGCCTCCTGCACTGTCGCACACGTCCTTCTCGCCCCCCTCCTCCTCAATTGCCCTGCTGCTCCTCTTCCCCCGTCCTGCTCCCCATCCTCGCCGCCAATCCTCCTCCTTCTCCTCCTCTTCTTCCTCCTCCTCACCATCATCATCACCACCACCAGCACTACCATCACCACCAGCATACCATCACCACAACTGTCATCATCAACAACAACCACAAGAGCAACAACTAACTCCTCATCGATCAAACAAACATGCAAACAAACGAACAAACAAAAACGAAAACGCACACAACAGCAGCAACAACAGCGACATCATCAACAAATCACCATCACCGTCACCGTCATTTGAACCTCCTCATCATCATCATCATCATCATCAGCATCATCAGTATCATCGTCATCATAATCAGCAGCATCATCATGATCACCCTCATAACCATCATCAGCAGCAGCATCAGCATCTTCCTTCATCGTCATCGTCACCATCATCATGCTCATCAGCAGCATCATAATCGTCGGCATCGTCATCATCTTCATCATCATCATCACCACCATCCTCATCAACATCATCATCGTCGTCACCATCATAATCAGAATCAGCATCACCATCACCATCATCATCAGAATCATCGTAATCATTGTCATCGTATTGCCATCGTCATCGCAATCCATATCATCATGGTCAATCACATCCTCATCCTCGTCACCATTGGCATCCTCATCGTTACCACCAGCACCACCACCACCATCATCACCACCACTACCACCATCATCAACACCAGAATCGCCGCAGCATCATCAGCAGCATCGTCATCAGCATCATCATCACCATCACCCTCACCATCACCATCATCATCATTGTCATCATCATCAGCATCATCATCATCAAAAGCATCGTCATCAGCATCATCATCCTCATCCTCATCCTCATCCTCATCATCATCATCATCATCATCATCATCATCATCATCATCATCATCATCATCATCATCATCATCAGCATCATCATCACCAGCATCATCATCACCATCAGCATCCACATCCCAATCCGCATGCCCCACCCCTTGTCATCCCACCAGAGACATTCCGCACGGGTGAGGCAATTCCCCAAAGCTTCCATTAGCGTTGATGTGGCCAATCTCTGAACGTTTTCAATATTTGATCCCCCGTTCCCCCTGCAATTTGTCACTTGTGCAGTGGCCCCCCACCACCACTTTTCTGCTCAGCTGCAGTGCTCTGGTGGCCATGACCATGGAGCTCAAAATGCCCCATCTCCCCCTCCCATCTCCCTCCTCTCTCGTCACATCTCCCTCCGACCTCCTCCTGTCTCCCTCCTCTCTCGCCCCTCATGCCCCCTCTCCCCCTCCTTTCGGACCACCTTGGCATGAAAGAAAGCGGCCCTGGTGGAAAAACCAGGCCCTGGATCCCGGCTAGCGTGGGGGACACGGGTCCTTAGGGCGACGGGTCCTGGACCCTGGGGCCTTCCGCCAGGACGAACTCTTCATCTCGAGTCGTTTTCCTCACAGTCCCAGGGCCCGTGGCAGGCCTGGAAGCAGCGAAAACCTCAGCCTTCTTCCTCCTTCCTCATCCCTCCTCCTCCTCCTCCTCCTCCTCCTCCTCCTCCTCCTCCTCCTCCTCCTCCTCGACCCCCCCCTCCCTCAATTCCCTCTCCATCCAGGACCCCCTCCCCCTCAGGACCCGTTGCCCCCCACGTCGGGCGGGGCGAGCGAGGGGGGGGGGAGTCCGAGAGCGAAGGCCGCCTCGGACGGCGGCGGCACTTCTCGGAGGCCCGCGCGCGCCCTCTGAGAAATCTCCCCGGTGCCATTCGGGGAGAGCGCAGAAGACTTCTCTCGGGTCGGGCGAAAGGGGGGGATAGCAAAAGGGGGGGGTGAGAATCAGCTCGCGTAGCTCATTTTCCCGGCGCCTCCCGGCGCCGGAGGCGGCTATGTATCGAGGAATGGGCCCCTCGGCGGGGCCGAAACCAGCTGCATGCAGCAAATTTCGTACCCCCCCCTTTCCCAATCCCCCCCTTTCGCCCGACCCGACATTCGGGGAGAGCGCAGAAGACTTCTCATGAAGGGGCCCCAGGACACACAAGAAAATACACACACAAATAAAAGGATTCTCCATATTTTCCTGTGTTTTCTGGGTTTCTGTCTCCCCCCCCCACTTCCCATATTTTTCCATACTTTCCTTGGGATCGACGCTTCCTTGTGTCTGTGTGTCTCTGTCCCCTCCTGATCCTCAGTTTGGCCGGAGGGGGCGCTCGAGCCTTCTGGGGAGGCCCGCCCCTCCGCACTTCCTATGGAGGCCTCCTATAGATGGGCTCCGAGCACACGGGGTCGAAGGGATCGCGCCGCCTCGGCGCCGCATCGGCGAGGCGTCGGCGAGGCGTCGGCGCCCTCGGCGTGGGGAAACACGGGCTCCAGACCGAGCCGCATGGCCGGTGCATCGGCGATGTGCGGCGCGACCCCTCGACCCCATGTGCACGCACCCCCTCTGTCGGAGGCGCGCAAGCATGAAGGGGCCCTGGGACACACAAATAAATACACACAAATAAAAGGATTCCCCATATTTTCCCATATTTTCTGGGTTTCTGTCTTACCCCCCACTGCCCATCTTTTCATCTATTTTCTGGGGGATCGACGATTAATTGTGTCTGTGTGTTTTTTCCCTCCTGAGCAAACATGGATTAGCGATCCATGGACTTGGCGCGCGCCCCAAAAAATGCGGCCGGTGCTGCCTCGCTCGGTGGCGGAAAGCCGCGACTTCCCATGGAAGCGGGACCCGTCGCTAATCGACGCCCCCGTGATCCATGTTTGCTATCGCCCTGCCCTCTCGCCTCGTCCGCCTCCTCCTCCTCCTCCTCCTCCTCCAACTCCTCCTCCTCCTCCTCCTCCTCCTCCTCCTCCTCCTCCTCCTCCTCCTCCTCCTCCTCCTCCTCCTCCTCCTCCTCCTCCTCCTCCTCCTCCTCCTCCTCCTCCTCCTCCTCCTCCGCCCATCGACGCACCCTCGATCCATGCTTGCGATCGCCCGGGCCTGGGAGGCCTCGAGGCCCGCCCCTTCTCGCTCCGCCCCCCGGGGCCCGCCGCCGACCCCTGGCGACCCGGGCTCTCCTCCTACTCGGGGCGCTCGGGCCTCCGAGAGGCGGCGGCCAGCGCGAGAGGAGGGGCGACCAGCAGGGTCCGGAGAGAGGAGGGCGGGGGCCCGACGCGGCGGGGGCCGGCCCCCGGGGGGGACGCCCCTCGGGCCCGCCGAGGCCCTCGCCCCGCTCGCTGCGCTTCCGCCGGCCACGGCGGGCGGGAGGGGGCAGGGCAGGAAGAGGGGGGGGGGGGTCGGGGAGCACGAGACCTACGTTGCATCACAGCAGCAATTCGACCCCTGACTTTCGTCCTGGGCTCGGTTTAGTGAAGTGATGAATTTCGTGGCCTTTACGTGGGAAAAAAACATCACTTTCACGAATCTGGGGCCCCTGGGGCCTCCATGGGCCCTGGGGCCCAAAATTAGTGACGTGATGGTTTTCGGGCCTCCCCAGACATCCTGCGTCATGATTTTTTCAAGACGTTTGGAAACGCCTTCACGCCTCGCTCCGATCGGAGCGAGGCGTGAAGCGGCGGCGAGCGGGGGGGGGAAGCGCGGAGGAGGAGGCCTTCTCAGAAGGCGGCGGGGCCTCTCGGAGGCCCGCGGGCCGTCTGAGAGGCGTTCTGCGCCCTCAGGGAAGGCTCAGAAGACTTCTCAGAGGGCCGGGGGCCTTCCGAGCCTCCGAGCCTTCTGAGGAGGTCCGCCCCTTCTCACTCCTCCCCCGGGGTCGCCGTCGGGGATCTTCTGACCCGGGTCAATCCAGACCCGGGTCAGCAAGAACCAAAAACTGCAATGCAGGAAAAAAAAACTGCAACGCAGGTCTTCGCAAACCCAGGTCAGCCAGAGGGGGTCTTCGCAGGATCCTGCAGGATCCGGCGCTCTGGCTGACCCCCGTCTGCATTGACCCCCGTCTAAAGGCTCCCGACGCCGCCGACCTTTGCTTCCGCCGGCCACGTCGGGCGCAAGGGGGCAGGATGGGAAAAGGGGGGGCCGGGGAGACGGAAAGGTGGGGTAGGGGCAGGGCTGGGGTTGGGAGGAGCATCGCTTTCAACGGCTCCTGGAAGAAGGCAGCATGCACCATGAGATGCGGTCGGACCTAGCACAGAAGAACACCCTTCAAGAACATCAGACCCTCCGCCGGCCAAAACGCCCCAAGCCATAAGATCACTCGAGAATGCCCTCCCCCTGGATGCGCAGGACTATCCAACGAACACGAAGAGCCTTGAGGTACCCTCCCAGAGCCGGCCTCGACCTTATTTCTCGGTCCGACCGTAACGCCCGCACCCTCTTCGAACCCCCGAGGGGTGGAACGAAAGAGCTCGCGCAGCTTGGGACGCACAGAACAGCCCTGGTACTATATGTCCTCCTTGGGAGGCGCACGTCCGACCCGAACAGATACTATTCAAATCTTGTATGGCGTATCGTTCCCCGAGCGGCACGGCCAGGAAGCGCCCGCCACGACGCGTATACTATGAGATCTCTCGATGCGCACGTCGCCCCTGGGGGAGGGGTGGGTGGGGGGCGACGCACATAGTGTTAGTATGTTGGGGTGCCGCCGATAGCTCAATCTCCCCCTGGAGTTCGGTCGGGCGTGTCCCCCTACAGGCGGATTTGGGAGGAACAGTAAAAGATACTCAAAACAGACGCATAATAGCAAAACAATGCTCAAAAGATCGTCCCCAGACTGCTGTTTCCCTACTGTTGAATATTCCTCCTGTAGAGGGACGGGCCCGATTTCACGCTGGAGGCGCCGGCGCATCGAGGACAGGCGCCCGCTCCTGCTCGTTAACACTCGTCACGTGGGCGGAGCTACACTGTCAATGCTGCGCTTTCCTGTGGCTTTGCTGTGCTCCTGCTCGCAACTCACACCGCCAGAGGCGGCGGAAAGCTTGAGTTATGTCGGGCCTGTCCCCCCTACAGGGGGATCTTGGACGAAAGATACAGCAGACGCCAAAAATGCTCCAAAACGATGCCCAAAAATACCCAAAAAAAAAATAGCCCCCAGACTATGCTTCGACTCTTCTTTGAACATCCCCCCTGCAGAGGGACAGGCCCGCCTGAAAGCTTGAGAGCTCCACCTGCCAAGGGAGCGCCCGGCGGCCGGCGGCCGGCGCCAGCGGAAAAAAAAAAACACACTTGTGGGAAAAAAAACATACACACACACACGTGGGAAAAACACAAACACACACTGTGGGAAACAAAACGCATGTTTTGTGTGTGTGTGTTTTGTGTGTGTTGTGTGTGTTCTCCTGTATGTTCTGTATGTTTTGTGCTTTTTTGTTTTTTCGCACACGCGGCCGCCCGAGCCGCGCTGCGGCCTCGGGCGGGCTCGCCCGCCGCCGCCGCCGAGGGCTCGTCGCCGGCCGCGGCCGTCCCTCGACGCGCGCGCGTAGGGAGCGGCCACGGCGTGCGCGAGAGAGAGAGAGAGAGCCCCACCGCAGCGGGCGCCTCGACGAGATCGGGGCCGAAGTTTCTCACGGGTGTTGGCCTCTCGGGGCCCTCGCCGGGCCTCGGGGCCGTCCAAAAAGGACGGGGGATGAGAAGCCGGTCCCGGGGAAGTGGTCGGGGGGTCGGGGGGCCCGTGTCTCGAACAAATCGAGGCGTCAGATGTGTGGGACCCTGGGAGTAGCTGCATTTACCTGGATGTGCCTCTCATGCTCTTTGCGTCTAACTTGAGTTATCCGGCCTGATCCCCAAGAGGCGATTGGCGAACAGCCGTCAAGTCCGTAGGGATACAGCCGAAAATGCGATCAAGGAAATCATGACTTAAAACACCTGGGCCAGCTTCCCACAGGTTTCTTCAACAAATCTGGGCGAACTTGCCTGGTCACGCTGGAGGGACAAACGTGCTCACGAAACGGGGCCAGCTTTTCGGCAAGCAAGGCAAGACACGCAGGCCCAGCCTTTCGGGAGGAGGGTTCTTCATCCGATGCCCGGCCGCAGGCCCTGCTGTCCTCCATCCAAGGACGGGCCCCAGACCTCTCCTGCGTTCCGTTCTGGTCAGAAGTCCGGCGGGAACCCAGCGGTGACGACGAGCAGGCCTCTCAGAGCCCCACGCAGGCCCATGAGATCCCCCTCCTCGAGACGCGATCGTCCTCCCCGACCCTCGTCCGCACGATGGGCGCGTGGCGGCAAAGACGGGCCGCGAGGGGGCGAGAGAGCGCGCGGGCGGGAGGGCAGAGGGCGCCGGGCGCTGGCCTCCCTGCTGGTACGACGGGGAGCGCCGGTCGTCTCGCCTGCTTTGCTGCAGGCACGCACACCCTGACGTCTCCTCCTCCCTCCTCCCTCCTCCCTCCTCCTCCCTCCTCCTCCCTCCTCACTCCCTCCCTCCCTCCCTCCCTTCCCCCTCCTTATCCTCCCCATCCTTCTCCTCCTCCTCCTCCTCCACCTCTTCCTCCTCCTCGCCTCCTCTTCCTCCTCCTCCTCCTGCTCCTCCTCCTCTTCCTCTTCTTGTTATTATGATCATGTTTATGAGTATTATTATTAGTATGATTACTATTAGTATTAGTATTATTATTATTAATGTTATCATCATTATTATTAGTCGTATTATTATTATTAGTAATATTAGTAGTATTATTGTTATTCTTATTACTATTATTATTATTATTGTTATTAGTAGTATTATTATTATTACCCTTATTACTATTATTCTGACTATTATCATTATTGTTATTCGTCTGCTTCCTTCACCTCCTTCTTATTCTTACTCATCTTCTTCCTAATAATTAAAATATTAGTATTATTAATACTCTTCTTCTTAATAGTATTGTTATGAATAGTCCTTGTTCTTCTTATTATTGGTATTATTACCAGTATTACTATTCTTAGTATTATTAGTACTACTACTCCTCTGAATATTATTTCTGTTTTTCCTCCTCCTCCTCCGCCTCCTCCTCCTCCGCCTGCGCCTCCGCCTCCGCCTCCGCCTCCGCCTCCGCCTCCGCCTCCTCCTCCTCCTCCTCCTCATCATCATCATCATCATCATCATCATCCTCCTCATCCTCCGCCTCCGTCTCCTCCTCCTCCTCCTCCTCCTCCTCTCCTCCTCCTCTCTCTCCTCCTCCGCCTCCTCCGCCTCCTCCTCCTCCCCTCCTCCTCCTCCTCTCCTCCTCCTCCTCCCTCCTCCTTCCTCCTCCTCCTCTCCTCTCCTCCTCCTCCTCCTCCTCCTCCTCTCCTCCTCCTCTCCTCCTCTCTCCTCCTCCTCCTCCTCCTCCTCCTCCTCCTCCTCCTCCTCCTCTCCTCTCTCCTCCTCCTCCTCCTCCTCCTCTCTCCTCCCTCCTCCTCCTCCTCCTCCTCCTCCTCCTCCTCCTCCTCCTCCTCCTCCTCCTCCTCCTCCTCCTCCTCCTCCTCCTCCTCCCTCTCGGCCAGGTCCGGGGCCCCGCGGAGGCCCCGGCAGAGTCCCCCGGTGCACCCGCGGATCGTCCCCGCCGCGGCGGGGGCAGCAGAAGCCGGCCGCGTCCTGTGCGACGCTGCCCTCGTCCTCTCCCCCCCGTCCGCGGCCCTCGCCCGCCCTGCTCCGCCTCCCCTCCCCCGCGCACCTTCCCCCCCCCACCCCATATCCCACCCCTCCTCCTCCTCCGCCTCCTCCTCCTCCCCTTCTTATTCCTTCTCCTTCCTTTTCTCCTTCGTCTTCTTCTTATTATTATTGTTACTATTACTATTACTATTACTATTACTATTACTAGTACTACTACTATTAAAATACTATTATGATAATTATAATTATTATGAGTATTATTGTTGTTAGTATTATTATTATTATTAGTAGTATTATTATTATTGTTATTATTATTATTATTAGTAGTAGTAGTAGTAGTATTAATATTATTATGAGTAGTATTAATATCATTATTATTAGTATTATTACTACGATTACTACTATTATTATTATTAATATTATTATTACTATTATTATTAGTATTCTTATTCTTCTTATCACTAGTAGCATTAGTATTATTATTATTACTACTAGTATTATTATTACTGTTATTATGATTCATCTTATTATTCTTACTATTGTTAGTATTAGTATTCCCTCTCTTTCTCCCCCTCCTCCTTCTCCTCCTCTTCCTCCTCCTTCTCCTCTTCCTCCTCCTTCTCCTCCTTCCTTCATTTCACCGTGAACGGTTACGCTCCAGTCCCGTCGTCGTCGTCGTCGTGGGCCAGGCACTGCCAGGAACCACGACAGCTTCAGAAGACTGCAGCTGTGTCTGAACGATACGCAAGCGTGCCCTGACATCCGACGTCGCGAAGAACACACATCCAAACAGAACGATCCCATCTTCAGGCCGCTTTTTTCGAGGAGGATCGATCCGGAACGGCCCCCGGGGCCCGAGCCAGAGCAGGAGCTCCCGTGGCGGCTTTTCACGACGTCCAGGTGCCAGGGTGTGCGAGGTTGGCTTGTGCCGCGTTCCCGGGTTGTCTGGACATTACATTTGCGTTTCAACGTGCAGTGATGATCTATTCGATTTGAGGGTGCCCTGCTAGCCCCGAGCAGTGGTCAGAATGACGGGGAAGGGGGGAGTTGGAAGGCCAATTCAGTCACAATCACTGCGCGACGCGATCCATTGGAACGACGAGCCCTCTCCCGGCCCGCAACTCAGGCGGCTGCTGCTTGTTGAAAGGAGCTGCCCCCCATCTTCTGAGCTGTACACGCTGCGACAGCGCCATGCCATACAGCTCGAGGAGGTGCGCAGCGACAGCCTCGCTTGGAGGGAGGACCGCCCTCTAGCCTTGTACACAGCCGTTGCGCTCCACCTGGAGTGGCAGCCCTGCCTTGAGAAAGGAGCCGGCCTCCCCCGGCGAAGCCGCTGCGCCGCTCCCTGGTGCTGTGTGGCAGCGGAGGCCGAGACGGCCTCTGGCGACATGGCACCCTTTTTGTCTGTGAAAGCCCAGTCTTGAGTAGTATCTGGGGGTTTTCGAAGGAATTCAAAAAAAACGGTGGTTTTAGAACGAATTCAAACAACTGACCCGCAAAAGTGACGGCCGCGACGCCCTCTCGCGAACCGAGAACGGCCAACTCACGAATCGACGCGTCAGGGTAGGAGGTCGATCCACCCCCGAGCAGCAGCCTCTCCACCGGACTCCGGGTCGGCCAGAAGGAACCAGACTCGAACTTACAGGGGGGGCGCGCATCCAAGAAACCATATGCTCTTCGTAAGGGTCTCCTTGGTTTCTTTGCTCCGCGCGCTGCGCGGTGACGTCCCGCGGCCGTCGAAGGAGCTGCTGCGTTCAGGGTGCTCCGGGTGTCCCCTCTGGTGCACCTCGCGCGCGGGTTCTCAGGGTTGGGTTTCTTGCGAGGGTTTCTTTCGGCCGCGCCCGCACTGTATGCCTATCCCGAATATCGACGAGCCAGAAGCGATGACAAGCTTAGGGGCGTGCCCTCAGAGACGCAGGGATCCTTAAGATATTGGCACCGAGGCAGGGTGGTGCCAAACATCGGGATGGGGCTATGCTTCAAGCTGGTGAAGAACTCTCTGGCCGGCGCCCACACGATGCTGCCCTGTAGGGCCGCAGGCCCCCAGTTCACGCGAGGCTCTCTTAGGTCGGGCATGTCGGCCTACAGGCGGATCTTGGACGAAACACAAACAGTATAGATCCAATTATTCAGAAATGCGCAACAATAGTAGCACAACTCGTCCCCATACACTTGTTGGACCATTTTGAATACTCCTCCTGTAGAGGGACATGCCCGACTTAGCAGGAGCCCCAGGCGCTCCTGCGGGCTCTTGCGGCTCGCCACGCAACGTTTCCCGGGAACGCGCGGCTCGGGCCCCAAGCCAGAAGTGGGCGCCTCAGGGTGGCCCTCGGGGGGCCGTCCTGTGGCGTCCCCGAGGATCTCTGGGGCCGTCCTGGAAGCCCAAGGGGCTGGCCCGAGAAGCCGGAGTCGGTCCAAACCTTTTTTGGTGCTTGGTTGATTTCGGCATCCTCTGCGCTCCTCGTCTTGATCGCGTCCACGACAGCCGAAGCGGATCCCAAAAGCGACCTTGAGACAGGCTCGCGGGCTCCAAGGGGGCCCCAAAGGCTTCCAAAAACGGCCCCAGGGAGGGACATCTCGAAGGGCTTAGAAAGATGCGTGGCACGACGTGCTCAGGTCAAGCGCGAGACGTTGCGCTGGCCGAGCGCAGCCCCCGCCTGCGAAAAGCAAATATGACTCCCGATGGAGGGCGCCAGGACAGGAATCCGAAAACGGACGACGGCCCTTGAAAACAGCAGCTATGCCTCTGCAGGGGGGGGGGCCCAGGAGCCCTCACCCCCAGACGAATCCAAGAAGACCCACCGCAGAACCTCCCTGCATCCCTCCTCTCTACCGCGGCCGACCCAAGCCAGCCACACAGTAGCTCTCATACCTGGGTCAGCAGAAAGAACGGGCGGGGGTCGGCTCCACTGGCCCGCTCCGGAAACGTAGCTCCAAAAAGGCTGCCACCTCTTGGGAGGATACCTTGTACTTCGCCGGCTCCCGCCATCCTTCCGCCGACTTCCGCATGCGGAGCCGCTGCCGTGTGAATTCCGCCAGCTTCCGCCAGCCTCCTGTCACCTACCGCCGAGCAGGGATCAACCTAAACAGTGATTCTGTCTTCGCTGTGTTCTCGTTGTCCCTAATGTTCTCTCCAATCCGCCCTGCTGCAAAACGAGATCGAAACGGAAACGGCCCACGAGATCGCCAAAGCACCACTGCTTAGGTCGACTCCTTCCGCAGAGGAAGAGCCGTCAACCCGTCGGTGCCTCGACGGCGAGGCCCTCCCCCGAGCGCCCTGCAGGTGCCCCCCCCTCGAAAAAAAACAGCCGGCCAGAGAGGGCCAGAGAGGGACTGGCTAGGCAAGCGCTGCCAAGACTCACACAGTGACTACTCGCAAAGGGCCTGGCCATAAACATCATCATCATCATCATCATCATCATCATCATCATCATCATCATCATCATCATCATCATCATCATCATCATCATCATCATCATCATCATAATCGTCATCATCATCATCATCATCATCATCATCATCATCATCATCAACAGCAGCAGCATCATGATGGCAATCGCCATCGTCATCATCAGCATCATCATCATCATCAGCATCATCATCATCATCATCAGCATCATCATCATCATCATCATCATCATCATCCTCATCATCATCATCATCATCATCATCATCATCATCGTCCTCGTCACCATCATCATCATCATCATCATCATCGTCATTCTCATCATCAGCTCATCATCATCAGCTCATTATCATCATCATCATCATCATCAACATCATCATCATCATCATCATCACCATCAGCATCATCGTCACCATCATCACCATCATCATATCCTCATCATCTAATCATCATCAGCTCATCATCATCATCATCATCATCATCATCATCATCATCATCATCATCATCATCATCAGTATCATCATCAGCAGCATCATCATCATCAGCCGTAGGGGAGTTGCGATGCATTACGTCGAGGCAGACGTGTTTTTTCGGACGCTTGCGAGCAGGCACTCTGCGGGGAGTGGAACGCCCTCGGTGCTGGGCGGACCTCCGTCCCCAGACCTCCGGCGTCGCGACTGCTCCGTCCACGGCGTGGACCCCCCGAGGTCCCGACCACTCCCCAAGACGAGGCCAGGGCGAGGACAACATCGGGAGAGCATACATCGACAATCGCCAGGACGAGGACAGCATCGGGTGAGGAGAACAACTCGAGCAACTCTGAGGGTGTCCCGGGCGCCGCGGCCTTCTCTCAGAGCGCTCCGAGAACGCTCCCCCGGCTCGTCAGCCTGAGATGTCCTCGGGCGCCCAGAGGGCCCCGCAAGGGGCCCCCAGAAGCCGAACGAAGACTGCGAGGAGCCTCCCGTCGTCACGGCACGGGCGCCGCGGCCCCACCGCGGTGCAGACGCGACCCGACAGAACGCGCCAGATCGCTCTCCCCTCGGCGGCGACGAGACGTGTGACTAGCCCAGGGGCGGGCACTGCGCGCTTTCGCCGCGGAAACTTGCCGAAGGCATGGACCATCGGCGCCCCTGGGTGCGTGTACCGGAGGAGCTCGGCCACAAAGCAGCCTTCCACACGAAGCCCAGCCCTGAGAGACCCCAGGACGTCCATGGATTTTTGGTATGGGGACGTCACGCCTCCCATCGCCAAACCATCGAAACCCAAGAAACCCACTATAGTGCCCCCCCCTAGACTGTTCGCCGCTCTCGTTGCCTCCGACACCCGGCCCGCGGCGGCCGACTGGCGCCTGTCGCCGCCGCTGGAGCGCTCGTTCGAGTCCTCGGGCGGGCGGGCGGGCCAGCGCGCTGGTGACGAAGGCGGGGCCCGTCTCGGACTGCTGGGGCAACCCCGAGGCCCAGCTGGGGCATGCACCCAGCAGAACACACAGGCACCCCGACTACGGTTAGGTCGGGCATGTCCTCCTCCAGGCGGAGTTTGGACGAAAAATACAAAATCGTCCAAAAACTTCGCCCAACAAAAACAAAAGTCCCCAGACCATGTTCGCACTATTTTCGAATTTTCCTCCCGTAGAGGGACGTGCCCGACTTAAGACTACGGCACCGCAGCCATGTGGACGACATGGCCCCGCGCCTCCGCGTCACTGCGCGCCCCTTCCTGGGGACATGGGGAGTACGGCACTCTCCCGGTCAGCTCCGTCCACCAGCACAGCCCCCGAGGCCCCGTCGGACTGGACGCTAAGAAGACGGCTGGCAGCCTCGCAGGTTCACTGCTCACGAGCACGCAGGATCGCCTCCGGGGCGCCGTCGCGCCACTGCCTCCTGGCCACCTCTTGAGGCCCTCTTGGGGCACCCTCGGGAGCCTCGGGAGCGCTCGTGGGGCCATCTCGGAGGAGATCGATCAAGGAAGGGAGGTTCCCTTGATTATAGCGTCGCCCCTCCAAGGGGCCCAAATGAGGCCAAAACCCTAGTAAGACCAATGAGTTTGGCTTCCTCGCCGAGGCTGTTTGGGACGCCCTGACCGCTCGCGGGGCGCCCCGTCCAGGTCCAGGGGACGGGGTAGGGGGAGGGGTCCAGACTCCCTCCCCGCCCGCAAGCCGTCTCGCTCACTCCCACCCGCCCTCGGAGCACGCCCCGTCGAAGTCGCGAAAGATTCTCAGCTCCGCTGCGCGTCGGCGGTGAGGAGAGGGCGGGGGCTCGGTCTCGAAGGCCCGATGATCAGGGGCGGCCTGATCTGAAGGGGCCCTGGGACACACAAATAAATACACACAAATAAATAAAAGGATCCCCCATATTTTCCCATATGTTCGTGGTTATGGTCTTCCCCCCCTCATTTCCCATATGTTCCTATATTTTCTGGGGAATCGACGGTTAATTGTGTCTGTGTGTTTTTTCCCCTCCTGATGATCTTGCTGAGCCACCACAGGCGAGCCCGAGGAGCTCGCCAAGCGATGCACACCAACCGGGCCACGTGGGATTCCAGAGGCACCCAATCGACCGGAGGGTCAGCACGCTCGGCCAGAGATGCCCCAGTTTGGCTCACACCCTCGGCGCAGACAGCATGGCGACGAGGCTGATCAAAGATACAGTGGAGGTCAGTCCACAAGAAACCTTCCACAAGAAACCCAACCCTGCGACCCCAGGACGCCGACTGACTCTTGGTGTGGGAACATCACGCGTTCCATGACAAAACCATCGAACCCCAAGAAACCCAGGGCACCCTGGAGGCAAGCAAGGACTTCCTTTGCATGGGCCCCCCACTGCACGGCGCAGCCGTAGAACAGGCTGCAGGTTCGGGGGCTGTGCCTCGCGAAGGGCGCAGGGGGGACCTCGGGCCGACGCTCGCCACTCTCGCGAGATTGGCGGAGATTGGCGCGGCTGCTGCCCTTCCCCCCCGCGCGCCAGGTCGGCACCTTCCCCGGCCACTCTGACGGTGTGGCCGGGAAGGCTCAGGCGGGGACGTTTGGATTGCCTGTCTGATTCGGCCTCTGGAGCCATGTTGTTTCTAAGACCACAAAAGAACCCGCTCGGGCGGGGAACGCGGAGAGCGACGAGGAAGTAGGAGGAGGAGGAGGAGGAGGGGGAGGAGGAAAAAAGATGAGGTGGGCAACACGAGACAAGACAACACAAGGATCCAGTGGCCTACACATCGCGCCTCACCGCAGGAAGCCTCGGTCAGAGAGGCGAGGAGCAGCAGCAGCAGGAGAGGGCGCGTGGAGAAGATGGAGGAGCCCCAAGAAGGCCCCAGGAGGCCCCCAGAGGCCCCCAAGAGGCCTCCAAGACGCCTCCAAAGAACAGATACCTATACTTAAACCTAGACGTACACATATGCATATACGAAAGCGAAAACATATTCACTTGTATACCTACAGTCACACACATCCAAATCGATATAAACCACTCATACACACAGGTACAAGTATACACATATGCATATCCACACACATCCACATGTACGGCCTACATATACATACACGCATGCATACATGCGTATCAGTTTACACGTATTCCGATAGACATATATACATACACATACATATACATGTACATATACAAGTACAAATACATACATTATGTATTTGTATACCTGTAATGCACGTATACGTGTACATTACACAAACTAGCACACATTCGTACCTCTACATGACCAACAGGTAAGCATATCCATACGCGCAGACATACACATCTACACAACCAAATACATTACATGTATATATGCACACATATACGCATGTACACATACACATCTGAAAATACATCGGCAAACGCATACACACATACATACACATATGCATAGACCTATACATATACATGGTCCGTGCCTCTACGTCTGCAAAGACATACACCTATCAATATAAGAAGACATATACTTATACACCTAAAAAGAAAACGTATATACATATACACACCCATACACATTCCACATATCAGTTTTCATGCGCATGTACATGTACAGACACATGCACACATACAAAACAAATGTATGCCTACAGTCACACATATGTACACACCTTCATACAGATACATATATATATATATATATCAAAAACACTCACACAAATTGATATGCGTATACATGTATGCAAATCCACACACATCCACATGTACGGCCTACAAATACATACACGCATGCATACATGCATATCAGTTTACACATTTACCGACATACATATATATACACATACATATACATGTACATATACAAGCGCAACTACATACATTATAGATATTCACATATATAGAATGCCCTTACACGTGTACATTACACAGAATAACACACACCCGTACCTGCACATGAACAAACGATATGCATATACATCCGTGCATACATGTACTTCTACAAAACCATATACATATGCATTTACATATGCACAAATGTACACATGTACACATACACCTCTGAATACACATCGGCACAAGCATACACATACACAGGCACAGAATCACATACAGTTACGGACACATACACCTATACCTATACATATACATATACATGTACTGCGTCTCTACGTATGCAAATACATACACCTATCAATATACGGATAGATATACTTCAATATACGGATAGATATACTTCTACACATAAAAAGTAAACATATAAAAAACATACATACACACCCATAAACATTCCTCATACAAGTTTCATGGTATGTACATGTACAAACACATGCACATATACATGAACACAGATATGTCTGCATATACGTGTACACATATATGCGTATATACATGTGGGATTACATATACACATACATATGCATACGAACATACGAATACCTAGACGTAGACATAGACACATACATACGAATGTACCTATACATATTCGTGCGCATGTACATATATCTATGCATACGCAAATCCAAAACAGTTACGTATATACACATGCATGCCTATACAGATACATGCACATGTACTTATATGTATGTGTATAGCAAAGTGAGCATACGTAAACATATACACAATCATCTACGTAAATGTATAAGTGCACATGCATGTCAATATAATCACACCTATGTGTACACCTACACATATACAAAAGCATAGATATAAAACATGCACCTTCACATATACATAGACACATACATATACATATCCGCCGACCTTGTTGGCGGGTGTGAGGGGATTGTCAGTTTGAATCGTCCTCTTCGTCATTCGTTCTTCGTCGTCTCTGCCGGCTCCTTTCCCTGCGGCCTCCACTTCCTTGAGGCCTGTTCCCCAAGCGCGCCAGCCAAAGCGAGATTGCCCTGTCGGGGGGAGGCTACCGGAAAGGGTCCCGGGGGAGATACCAGATACGCCGCGGTCCCGGGGGGGGTCACCACCAAGATACGCATCCCTCCCAGGGGTTCCAAAAAGCCCCAGGAGCGCCCTCCCTTTGATCCCTCCCCCGTCGAGGGCGAGTGGGTCCCAGGGGGGGGGTCCTGGAGGAGATACGCCTCGGCCCCGTGGGTGGTGGCCACCCAGGTGCGCATTCCTCCCGGGGTTTCCGGGGTCCCAGAAAAGATCCAGGACGGACCAAGCGTGCCCGAAGAGGGCCCCAAGACGGTCCAAGGGGGTCCCGCATCGCCGAGCGATCTGCCCCTGACGCCTTCACGGCCTACTGAAGACATGTGAAATCTGCAAAACGCCCCACGAGGCCTCCAGGAGCACTCCCAAGAAGGCCACCGTAGGCAAAATGCGTGAATTCCCCTCGGGTGTTTGACAAAGTTTGGCGTTCTCGCCTCTTCCGTTGCACGACGCTCCCAGGCAGCCCCAGAGGCCACCAAGATCGCCCCAAGACGGCCCAAAGTCCTCCAAGAGGTTCCCAAGATGGCCCAAGAGGGCCCCAAGAAGGCCCGAGACGCCTCCAAGGCAGGCCAAGAGGCACCCAAGACGGCTCCAAGAGGGTGCCCAGACGGGGGACCCGAAGGGACATCTCGAGCCCCCCCAAGCCTCGAAAACGCCCCCAAGAAGCCCCCAGGAAGCCCCTGGGGGCCAACGAAGAGTCCCCCAAAACGCCCCCAAACAGTGCACCAGAGGCCCCCGAAAGCGTTCCGAAGAGACCCCGACAAGCATCCCCTCCGCCCTATGCTCCTGACCCTCCTCCTCCTCCTCCTCCTCCTCCTCCTCCTCCTCCTCCTCCTCCTCCTCCTCCTCCTCCTCTTCCTCCGCCTCGTTTCCCTCGTCCTCCACCTGCTCATTGCCCTTCTCAACCTCCTTCTGCCCCAACTCCCCTTCCCCATCCTCCTCCGCATGCTCTTCCAAATCCTCCCCCTCCTGCTGCACGGCCTCCTCCTCCTCCTCCTCCTCCTGTTGCTCCTGTTGCTCCTGCTCTCCCTCCTCTTCCTCGACCTTTCCCTCCTCCCTCATTACCCTCCTTCACATCCTCCTCCTCATCCTCCTCCTCCTGATAATCCTCCTCCTGATGCTCCCCCGCTCGTTCGTGTGCCTCTCTTCTGGCCCTCCGCAACCTTACCTCGACCTCGTCCTTCCCATCCTCCTCCTCCTCCTCCTCCTCCTCCTCCTCCTCCTCCTCCCCTCCTCCTCCTCCTCCTCCTCCTCCTCCTCCTCCTCCTCCTCCTCTTACTGCCTCTCCTACTCCCCCTCCTCCGCGTCATACTTCTTTTCCTGTTCCTCCGACTTCCATTATCGTCGTCTTCCTACAGTTCCTGTTTCCACCGTTTCCCCCCTGCCCCTGCTCCCCTTCCTGATCTTCTTCCGCATCCTCCTCCTCCCCCAACTGCTGTTCAACCGTGTCCTCCGTCTCCTCCTCCTGCTCTTCCTCCCCCTCCTCGCCCTCCTCGTCATCGTCATCCTCGTCATCCTCGTCATCGTCGTATTCAGGGTCGGCGGCACCAGTCGTAAGGCCTTCATAACACATATACATACACCTACACATGCATGCAAACATATACATATTCATATACGTATACATATACATATACATATGCATGTGTACATACGTGTACATGTACATACGCAGATGCAGGTACCGTTACAACTATATATATGTATATATAAGTATATATACATATACATATACGTATGCATAGGAATACGCATCTACATAAACATATAAGTGCGCATAAACATATACCTATACTATGGTGTATGTATACGTATGAATACACATAAATCTATACACATATACACATGCACATACACCAACTCCTACACATAGACGTACACTTACAATTACATATGCAAAACATATGCACGCATATAGACATATACGTGTACATCGACCTCTAAACATACGTATGCAAGTACAGACGTGTACGTATACATATGAATATACAGCTACATGGACATATGCATATGCATCAACATCAACAAAAGCAGGGTCACTATCATACATATATGCATACAGATCAACATATGTTTGTACATATACAAATACCTATACTGATACCTATACATATACAAATACCTAGACCTGCACCTATACCTACACATATACCTATGAATGCACACACCGATGCATATACATACACATATGCACTCACGTGTTCATATACTTGTACCTATACATATACAAATACATAGCCGTCTACAGCTACAATCACCTATACATCTACAGCAATACCTCCACATACAAGTATCCCAGCAAAGCAACCTAACAGCGATGCGTAGGAGCATATCTGGAAGCATTCCGCTTAGGATTCAGATGAGAATACAGTTGTACAATTATGCTGTTCTCGCAGTCGTAGTCGCATTCGCGATGACAGTCGCAGTGGCAACGGCAGTCGCAGTCACAGCCTCAGCCTCAGCCTGCCTCAGCCTCAGCCTCAGCCTGCCTCAGCCTCAGCCTGCCTCAGCCTCAGCCTCAGCCTGCTTCAGCCTCAGCATCAGTCTGCCTTCAGCCTCGGCCTCAGCCTCAGCCTGCCTCAGCCTCAGCCTGCATCAGCCTCAGCCTCAGCCTCAGCCTGCCTCAGCCTCAGCCTCAGCCTCAGCCTCAGCCTCAGCCTCAGCCTCAGCCTCAGCCTGCCTCAGCCTCAGCCTCAGCCTGCTTCAGCCTCAGCCTCAGTCTGCCTTCAGCCTCGGCCTCAGCCTCAGCCTGCCTCAGCCTCAGCCTGCATCAGCCTCAGCCTCAGCCTCAGCCTGCCTCAGCATCAGCCTGCCTCAGCCTCAGCCTCAGCCTGCCTCAGCCTCAGCCTCAGCCTGCTTCAGCCTCAGCCTCAGTCTGCCTGCCTTCAGCCTCTGCCTCAGCCTCAGCCTCAGCCTCAGCCTCAGCCTCAGCCTGCCTCAGCCTCAGCCTCAGCCTCAGCCTCAGCCTCAGCCTGCCTCAGCATCAGCCTCAGCCTCAGCCTCAGCCTCAGCCTGCCTCAGCCTCAGCCTCAGCCTGCTTCAGCCTCAGCCTCAGTCTGCCTTCAGCCTCGGCCTCAGCCTCAGCCTGCCTCAGCATCAGCCTGCCTCAGCCTCAGCCTCAGCCTGCCTCAGCCTCAGCCTCAGCCTGCTTCAGCCTCAGCCTCAGTCTGCCTTCAGCCTCGGCCTCAGCCTCAGGCTGCCTCAGCCTCAGCCTGCTCAGCCTCAGCCTCAGCCTCAGCCTGCCTCAGCATCAGCCTGCCTCAGCCTCAGCCTCAGCCTGCCTCAGCCTCAGCCTCAGCCTGCTTCAGCCTCAGTCTGCCTCAGCCTCAGCCTCAGCCTCAGCCTCAGCCTGCCTCAGCCTCAGCCTCAGCCTGCCTCAGTCAGCCTGCCTCCTTCAGCCTCTCTCAGCCTCAGCCCTCAGCCTCAGCCTCAGCCTCAGCCTGCCTCAGCCTCAGCCTCAGCCTCAGCCTCAGCCTCAGCCTCATCAGCCTGCCCTCAGCCTCAGCCTCAGCCTGCCTCAGCCTCAGCCTCAGCCTGCTTCAGCCTCAGCCTCTGTCTGCCTTCAGCCTCGGCCTCAGCCTCAGCCTGCCTCAGCCTCAGCCCTCAGCCTCCTCAGCCTCAGCCCTCAGCCTCAGCCTCAGCCTCAGCCTCAGCCAGCCTCAGCCTCAGCCTCAGCCTGCTTCAGCCTCAGCCTCAGTCTGCCTTCAGCCTCGGCCTCAGCCTCAGCCTGCCTCAGCCTCAGCCTGCCTCAGCCTCAGCATCAGCCTGCCTAGCATTCAAAATGTGGCCCGGGAATGGAATTGTGGGAACTCGAAGAACACGAAGTGGCCTACAATTGGCTCCGGGCATTCAAAATCATGCCCAGGAATGGAGTTCTGGGAACTCGAAGACCACGAAGTGGCCTACAGTTGGCTCCGGGCATTCAAAATCATGCCCAGGAATGGAGTTCTGGGAACTCGAGGACCACGAAGTGGCCTACAGATGGCTCTGGGCATTCAAAATCATGCCCAGGAATGGAGTTCTGGGAACTCGAAGAACACGAAGTGGCCTACAGTTGGCTCCAGGCATTCAAAATCATGCCCAGGAATGGAGTTCTGGGAACTCGAAGACCACGAAGTTGGCTAAAAAAGGAATCCCCGGATCCCGTCCGGATCCCGTCTGGATCCCGCCCAGACCCCCCTGGGGAGTCATGACGCTCTCTTTTGACCCTACTAAAAACCTATCAGTCTTCGCTGTCAGGTAAAAACATATACAAATCCATGTACGCATACACAGACACAAACATATCCATGTGCAATTTCATATACGTATACGCTTACAAACACACATGCATATACCTACACGTAGACAGAAGCATAAACATAAACAACTTTCAATCAACTTGGGCAAAGCTCTTGCCTATCAGCGGGTGCCGCCCAGCAAAGGGGCATGTCCATCACCAAGAATCCGTTATTAAAAACAACTTGGGGTGGGGGGGGGCCTAGCAGAGGGCGCCGCGCAGCACATGGGGCACGTCTAGCATCACGGGTTTGTTTTATCAACTTGGGGTCAAATCCGGCCTAGCAGAGGGTGCCGCACAGCAGATGAGGCACGTCAAGCACCAAGGATTATTTTTTTAATCAACTTGGGGAGGGGTCCTCTGCTAGGGGTCTTGCCCAGAAGAGGGTGTTGCACAGCAGTTGGGGCATGTCTAGCACCAAAGATTCTTGTTTAATCAACTTGGGGAGGGGTCTTGCCTAGCAGAGGGTGTCGCACAGCAGATGGGGCGCACGTAGTGGTAGGCATGGAGAGCGCAAAGTAAAATGGCACTTTCAAATTACAATTGGGAGGGGAACGCGTTGAATACTGGGCCCAGAGAAGAGAAGGAGCATCTTCACAGGGAATAGCGTCTTCATCAGGAATAGCGTCTTCACCGGGAATAGCGTCTTCACCCGGAATAGCGGCTTCACCGGGAATAGCGTCTTCACCGGGAATAGCGTCTTCACCGGGAATAGCGTCTTCACCCGGAATAGCGTCTTCACCCGGAATAGCATCCTCACCCAGAATAGCGTAGCGTGCTCACCGGGAATAGCGTCTTCACCCGGAATAGCGTCGGGAATAGCGTCTTCACCCGGAATAGCGTCTTCACGAACAATACCGTCTTCACCCAGAATAGCGTCTTCACCCGGAATAGCGTCTTCACCCGGAATAGCGTCTTCACAGGAAATAGCGTCTTCACCGGGAATAGCGTTCTCACAGGGGATAGCGTCTTCACCGGGAATAGCGTCTTCACCCAGAATAGCGTCTTCACCGGGAATAGCGTCTTCACCGTCTTCACAGAGAATAGCGTCTTCACAAAGAATAGCGTCTTGACAGGGACGCGTCGTCATAGGGAATCGCGTCTTCAAATAACGTCTTCGGCGCCGGCTCGAACTGAGAACCCCGGTTGGCGGGGCAATGTAAACAAATACCAGCACCTATACATATACATAAACATACACGCACGCAAAGATATACGAACATACAGTTACACATACAGGTGCGACTTCATATAGCTATTCGAGAAAATAGGCTGACACATATAAACGTACAACCAAAAACATACACAGATGAAGATATGTGTATACAAATGTAAACGCATATGTAGATGTATGCAAATGTGTATGTACTTATCCACGTTCACACTTGAATGAACATATGCAAATGCGTATACGTACACATATACAATTACATATACACGCACGTAGACCTAGTGATGTACACCCATGCGGGAGCACGTGTGCGCACCGATACGTATACACATTTACACAAATATAGGCCAAGGCATACACATACCTATACGACCACCCTTCGGGTGATAAGGAGGTTCGGGGGGGGAGGAACCAACGTCTCACTCGATCGGACTCACTATCGATCTCACTATCGATCTCAGTATCGGTCTCGCTCGATCGATCTCCCTCGATCGATCTCACAATCGATCTCACTCGATATATTTCACAATTGATCTGACTATCGATCTCACAATCGATCTCACAATCGATCTCACAATCGTTATCACATTCGGTCTCACGATCGATCTCACCATCGATATCACAACCGCTCCCACAATCAACGTCATCATCATCATCAACAACAACATCAACATCAACATCATCATCACCAACATCATCAGAATCGGGACACAGTCCTCATCATCAACACCAACATCATCATCACGATCATCAGCATCATCGGGACACCACCATCATCATCATCATCATCATCATCATCATCATCAACATCATCACCATCACCACAATCATCATCATCAACATCAGCATCATCATCACCATCGGGACACAGTCATCGTCATCATCATCATCAGCAGCAGCATCATCATCGGGACACCATCATGATCACCATCGTTATCATCATCATCATGATCATCGGGGCACCATCATCATCATCATCTCATCCGCATCATCGACATCATCAGCATCAGCATCATCATCATCATCATCATCAGCATCATCATCATCGTCATCATCGGGGCACCATCATCATCATTACCACCATCAGCATCAACATCATCATCATCATCACCATCGGGACGCCATCATCATCAACATCATCATCACCATCATAATAATCATCATCATCGGGACGCCATAATCATCATCAACCTCATCATCATTAACATCATCATCATTGGGACACAATCATATTCAGCATCATCAACATCAACATCATCATACTCATCATCATCGGGACACCATCATCGTCATCATCATGGTCATCAACATAATCATCATGATCATCATCATCCCCATCATCGGGACACCATCAGCATCATCATCGTCATCATCATCATCGACATCATCATCATCATCATGTCATCATCATCGTCCCTTTCATCACAATCATCATCAGCATCACCATCATCATCTCTATCGTCATCATCATCATCAGCAGCAGCATCATCATCATCAGCATCACGATCATCATCATCATCATCATCATCATCATCATCATCATCATCATCATCATCATCATCATCTCATCATCATCTCATCATCATCATCATCATCATCATCATCATCATCATCATCATCATCATCATCATCATCATCATCGCGGGACACCGCGGGACACCGGCGGGACACGCGCGGGGACACCGCGGGACACCGCGGGACACCGCAGGACACCGGCGGGACACCGCGGGCCACCGGCCGCCCGGAAGGGAGTCATTTGGTCCGGCCGCGCCTCAGCCACACGGGACTTTCGCGGGACACCGGCGGGACACCGCGGGCCACCGGCCGCCCGGAAGGGAATCATTTGGTCTGGCCGTGCCTCAGCCACAGGAGACTTTTTCTCGCCCGCCCACGCAGCTTGGCCTCGCCCGCACGCACGGCACGCACGAACACGAAACCGAAATCGATTTCCCGGTAGGGGGGCTCTCCGTTCCACTTCGATCTCACCCCCTCACCTCCGATACATATAGATACGCATGTGTAAACATAAATCCAATATACATGTGTATGTACGCATATGAATACGAATACAAATGAACGCATACATTTAGTTACACATATACATGGACATTGTCATAGCGACTGGCATAGCTGTGCATCAATACTTAAATATGCTCGTATGCATCTAAATAATCATTGATATTTATATGTTTGCGAATATGCAACCGTACCTACACACCCATATGTATATACACAAGTGCGCATAGACCCGCCATACAGATACGTCTACAATTACGTACACATGCACATACACATTTGTCTATATAGATGCACATAAGAATACATGCACATGTACAAGTCAACTTACACATAAACATACATGTACGCAAAAAAACAGTATCAAACGAATGCATGCCAATATACATAAACGTATATGCATCTCTCGTTGTTGCGTCGTTCCTGCCGCCACCGCTGTCACGGTCATGTGTCGCGATGATATTGCGCAAACTCGCCACCGTCCTAAATACTGGGAGTAAGGATGAGGTGGAAAACGAACAGGAGGAGGAGAAAGAGGAGGAAGAAGAGGAAAAGGAGGGGGAGGGGGAGAAGGAGGAAAGGGGAAGGCAGGAGCGAGCAGGAGAAGGAGGACGAGGAAGAGCAGCAGGAAGAAGAGGAGGAACAAAAGGAGGGGGAAGCAGGGAGTATGAAGAAGACAGGGGGAGGAGGAAAAAAAAAAAAAAGGTGGAACAGGAGGAGGGAGGAGGAGGAGCACGAGGAGCGTTGGGGGGGAGTATATGCAACGCACACGCGCCCCGCACGTTAATAGGACTCGCACGGGCGCTGTGTCTGGGGGCCCGGGGCGGCCCCGGGATCGCCGCGGGCGTCGGGGGCACCCGCGCGCTGCGCGCGCCCGCGTCGTCCCCGGCCCGCTTTCGCCGCGGCCCCCCTCGGGCGCACAGGCAGAGGAAGGGGAAGGGGGGAGGAGGAGGAGGAGGAGGAAAAGGGAGAGCAGGACGAAAGGGAGGACGAGGAGGAGGAGGAGGAGGAGGAGGAGGAGGAGGAGGAACGGGGAACGGGACGCGGAAGACCCTGAGATCCCGGCATCGCAAATTTCGCCACGCCATACGTTTCCGCCAAGGGTCTACGGTTATGGTCACGAGGTTTCAAAACATGTTGTTTATATATATATATATATACATATACACAACCAACGCGGCGTTGGATGACAGGGCAGGAGGAAGAGGAGGAGGACAAGGAGGAGGGGGAGCAGGAGGAAGGGGAGGAGGCGGAGGAAGAGGAGGAGGAGGAGGAAGAGGAGGAGGAGGAGGAAGAAGAAGAGGAAAAGGAGGAGGAACGCTCATCTTTTCGTGGGTATGTGCTTCGCTGGGCGACTCGGGTGAGAACGGCACGTATTTTAACGCGCCTCCCTGCCAGCACTCGACTGCGGGCTTAAAGGAGAGGCAACTTCCCATTGGGTCCGTACTTCCCGCTTGCTCGCGTGGAGTGACATGTCGAATATGTAATATCATGCGTGTTTGGTATGGCCAGTCGACATTCGGGCACAGTCTCGGGAATGTCGTGCACGATCATTCCCTGCAGGGGGGACACGGCGAGAAGGCAAGACGGCAGGGCAGGGACACGAGAAGACAGCAGAGGGAGCAGGAACGGAGAAAAAAGAAATGAATCACCCCATCTCCCCCGACCGCACAGCACCCGAACCTCCAGGTATCAGTTCCCAGTCGGCAGCTGCAGCCGGTGGGCCACGCATTATAACCAGTGCGGAGACAGGCGCTCCCGATACACGGGACGAGCTTACACTCAGCGATCAGCAGACGTAACAATACGCTATCACCGACAGAAGGGGGGGGGGGGGGGCAGGCCAAAAGTACCTCGCGCGCCTCAGAAGATCAGGAACAGGGGAAGGATTAGGAAGCCTCAACCGAAGGAACGCGCATGTCTTTCTTTCTCTGCAGCCCAGAAATGTCAGGGCCCCCGAGCGCGGAAGCGATCGCTGTAATCTCCCTCCACGTCGTGCTTGATCGGCTGCTTCCACCATGTAAGGGATCGGGGGACAAAAAGGACATCGGCGTCGGAGACCCCATTGAACGCGGGGTAGAAACGCGCCACTGCATCACTAGGTTCCCCAGGCCCCGAGGCGGCACGAAACGTGGCAGCGCGAGCAGAACAGACCAGATCCCTAGGCTCATCCGCCACTCCAGCATTCTCAATCCCTGGCAGAATGGATCCAGGAATAATATGGCGCGGCGCGCAGGTTAGGCGCTGCAGCGCAGCGCGCTCAGCGGCCATCGCGCGCTCGGCGACGAGGTAGACCTGGCAGGCGCGAGACAGGGAGACCGAAGACATCATGGGCATGAAGGTTAAAAATAAGCGAGAGAAGGAGCGAGCGAATGGGAGTCGCACGATCAATCAGCTCGGCGCCCGGAGCCCCCCGCCCCTCGCCGCATCCTCCTGGGCCCAAGAACGCGCCCAGAGATTTCCCGCAAGCAAGGGACTTGAATTCCCGAACGTTCAGCCCCGCGGCCCAGAAGCGCGCGCGGCTTCCGAAGGGCCCCGGGGCCCAAGAATAACAGCGACACGCCTGTCGGGGCCCCAACAAAGCTCGGCGACGACGGAGCTCTGCACCGCCCGCGCAACAATAGCAGACAAGAAGAAGCGCGCGTCGCGAAATGCGCATCCGACGCCACCGGCAATGAGAAAAGAGGCGAGCGGATGAAAGGCAAGCCGCTGGCCAAGCGCCCGCTCGGCAGGGCCGCTCGCTAGAGCGGAACAAGCCCTGCGAGAGGGCGGCCCAGCCTGGAAACTTCATTCCGCAAAACAAGGGGCCCACTTTGACCGCAGAAACAAAGGACTGCCTGCGCTGCGCGACGTGACCGGGGGAACCCACCCCTCGGTCGAGGGGGGGGGGGGGGGGCGCCGCTGCCCAAGAAGAAAGCGCCATCATCTGGATATCCGCGCCAGACACACCGCTCCAGGATCCAGGATTCAAGACCGACGAGATCGATCGCCCAGAATATTGCGCCCACGGATGAGCCGCCGAGCAGACCTCAAAGTCCCATGCTGCGCTCGCTGCACACATGGAACACCCCCGCGCGATGCGAAAATCTCGTCGAGAAAGCCCAAGCCCAAGCAAGGACGGCGCCCCCGTGGCCGCCGACCCTCTTCCCGGGCAAGATGACAGCGCCACCGCAGTTGAGGCTGGCAGGGGGGCATCTGGTAGCCAGGGTGAGCTTCGCAATTGCTGAGTGAAGTCCGACGAGCACGACAACTAGCAAACTTCCAGATATTATAAGGAACTCCGCCTGGGCCAGAGGCTGAGTCGCGCTCGGCAGCCACAACGCCGATGAAAGCCCCGAGGTCAAGAGCGAAATCGACCCTGGGAGCAAGAGGGGGAAGACGCCGCTGAAGCCCCTCCAAAACATGGGGGCGCAGAACACCGCGCGCGGGGGCCCAGTCGCGCACGGGCCGCCAACGGCCGGCGAGGTTCGCGGCGCATTGTTCTTTATATAACAAATGGGTCACTGCCACTAGAGACACCAAAAGCGAATTCTACTAACTTCCGACGGCTGGGAGACCCAGTTAATCAAGCCGATATACTTCGACGCTCTCGGACCCGCCGCGTTCGCTATCTCGGGGCAGGCGGCAAGTCTGTCCACCAGGTTGTTCTTCTCTGTCGTCCTCCTTTTCTTGCCGCGAGGACCCCGCCTTCCTCCCGAGAGAGGCCGGCGCGCGAATCGTCTGGCAAATCCCCCGGCACATCATCAGGCAAGTCATCGGGCACATCGTCTGGCAAGACGGCGGGCACGTCATCAAGCACGTCGACGAGCACAAGGCCTGGGTCCACAATGCCGCCCCCCTCTCCGCGCACATCAGAGTTGCTCGGGCACGACGAGGCCAGCGTGGTCTCCGCTCCGGGAGGGCACCGCGACCCCAGGAGCCCATGGAACTTCTCGCAGATGACGAACGCCATTTGCTCCAAGTCATAGCACTCCTCCACAATAGGCATCGCGTCCACGCAGCCTCAACGCGTCTCCTCGACCAACGCGAGCCGAACGCATGAACTCCAGAAGTACTGCCAGCCCTCGGGAAGCAGTCCGGGGCCCGCACTTGAACAGTCATTGTTTGAGAATCCCCGTCGCAGCATACGCCGTAGTCTCAATATCCCCCATGGCCTGGCAGGGATCGGGGGCGTCCTCTAGCTCGTCCAACATCTGATCTAGCAAGACAAGAAAGGGCTTCAGGCGCAAAGGGGGCCTGGTGGTTTTTAAGCGTGATCTTTTTCAGCTCCAGACTGGATGATTCGGCGGGCTTTCGGCCCTCCGAGGGTTTCATGCGTCTCTCTCTCTCTCGCTCTCTCTTCTGTGTGTTTTCGTTCGTAGCGCATTCCTCTTCCTCCTCATCCTTCTCCGTCTTCCTCCTCATCCTGTTCCCGATCATCCTCCTCTTCCTCCTCCTCCTCCTCCTCCTCCTCCTCCTCCTCTTCCTCCTCCTCCTCCTCCTCCTTGAGAGGCTTTCCAATGGTACCATTGTGGGGCTTTCCAAACGAATCCTGCTGAGAGGCTTTCCAATAGAATCCTTCTGTGGCGCTTTCCAACAGATTCCGATTGTGAGGCGTTCCAATAGAATCCCTCTGTGGTGCTTTCCAAAGGAATCCTGTTGAGATGCTTTCAAATGGAATCCTTTTGTACCGCTTCCCAAATGAAGACCTGTTGAGAGGTTTTCCAATGGAACTCCTTTGTGGTGCCTTTCAAAGGGTTCCTGTTGAGAGGCTTTCACATGGAATCCCTTTGTGGTGCTTTCCAAAGGGTTCCTGTTGTGAAGGTTTCAAATGCTCTCGGCTAGGTGGGAGAAGGATCGGCGCAGGTTTGACGCAGGACAATGGAAACATGTAGAGAGACAGGGAGGGAGAGAGAGAGAGAAACGGAAACACATCCAGAAAAATAATGAGAGAGAGAGAGAGAGAAGGAGTCGTAGAGAGAGACTCGCATAGGTTTTCTTATTAAAAACAACACGCACAAAAACCACCAGGCCCCCTTTGCGCCTGGAACCGAAGAAAGTCAGGGCGGGCGCGCCATTGCGGAACATGGGGCGCGCCCGACGCACGAGAGCCTCTCTGAACAAACACAAGCACGTGGCCCGACGGGAACGCGAGATCGCGGGCATGTCCGTTCGGTCCCAAATCGGGTACACGATAGATGCCTCAATGGGAAAGGCCCCGCCAGGGCCTCTCAGCGCAGGACAAAACACCGGCCCTCACCCATGGCATCAACACGGATAGACTCACAGGATAGGAGAAATGGCCTGGCAACGATAATTACATCCCCACCGCACGGTGATTTAACAAGAACCTGCATGAGCGGAGCTGGGATACTCCAAATTGCTGAATTCGGCCATTGGCCCATGAGTTCCCTGCAAAAGAACAGTCATATAATGCACGAAGAGACGACGAGCGCACGCATGCTTCTTGCGCTGACGGGCGCGACCACCCCACGCACTTCCAAAGAGAGCAGCTGAATTCCAACTTGCACAACTTAAATTACCCGAGACGTGCCAAGGCTGGAGCAGAATTCGGGGGTCGGGCAAAAGCAGAGGAGGGGGGGACAAAGAGAGCTGCTCCACCTCACGGTGGATGCCAGGCGCAGGCTCGACGCATTCATTCCCAGAGGCCCAGCAGCCACGCTTCCAGTAAATGAAGACACAGACGGACAGGGGGAGACGCAGAAGAGGAGGCAGTCGGATCCGTCGAATGAGTCGAACCCGAAGCCGATGAGGTGGAAGCCGAAGCTCCCGAAGGAGGCGCAGGCAGCATGCCGCGAGCTGCTCGTTGGCACTCCACTACAGCATCTTGTAGATGTCAAACGCGCTTGGCGCGCAGCTTGCTCGATCAGCCCGGGGAAGGAGTTGACTACCTCGATCGGGAGACCGATGCTCTTCGCGTCGTCAAGCATGCTAATTGTTAAATGTTCGTGCCCGCCACCCATATCATCACCAGGCTCGAGCCTCACGAGGTCGTAGAACTCCCCGCTGTCGCTGCAAGATAGATGCAACAACCCGGAGCGAGGGTTGGCACCCAGCGAGATGCAATCCATGCAGGCCCGGTGCCGGAGCAACGCAGCACGCACAGACCCCCGACATTGGCCCAGGGCGTATGATCTGTGACGGATGTGCAATGGCTGGCGGAACCCGAGTCGCAACTCAGCGTCATCCCCCGTCTTCCGGTCGCGCCACAGCAGGCTCAGGCTGGGGCCGATGTCCTTGCCCCAGGCGAAGAAGGCACGAGAGGCATGCTTGCTCTCAAATTTGACATTGCAGCATAGCTTGTCGCTCTGAACCTGCGCGCGAGCTCCAACTATGAGCTCAGAAGCAGCAGCATGGAGCAGTTCGAACTGGGACTGGAAAACCCTCGACAGTAGCTTGCGCGGGAAGCCCTTGACCCATATCTTGCACATCGCTCACGTTGCCGTTCCCACCGCGCGGGCTCGTCGGTCCAACAGCAGGGACAGCACCAAAAAACAATTTCCCAGCCACGGCTCCTGTAGGTCTTGGGCTCAGCGCCAGTCGAGCTCCACAGATCCGAAGATGTCGAGGGCGGAAAACGGGTACGCGAAGAGGCGAGGTTAGTCTTGATCGCATTCTCCATGGCAATCATCTTGCCGTCCAGCTCGGCGACGGTCACGAACTTCGGGGTGGCTTTCTCAGGTCGACCATCGTTCAACGGCGAGGTCGAAAGGCCAGGCGTCGGAGTGCCGGCAGGGCCAGTCCTGTATGAGCTCCTTGCCTGGTCCAACTCGGCCTTCACACTAGTTCGCTCTAGCTAAGGGAGGAAGAAGAGGAGGAAGAGGAGGAGGAGGAGGAGGTAGGAGGGGGGAGGAGGGGAGAGGAGAGGGGGGAGGATGGAAGAAGGAGGAGCGGGAGGAGGAGGTTCGGAGAAGAGAGGAGGAGGAGGAAGAGGTGAGGGATGATGCAGAGGAGGAGGGAAGGGAGGAGGAGAGGGGGAGTAGAAGAAGAGGAAGGAGGAGGAAGGAGGAGGAGGAAGAAGAGGAGGAAGCGGGGAGAGCGGGAGGAGGGACATGGGGCCGGAGTGGGGGCCACCGCGCTTCGCTGGCACGCAGGGAAGGGCGTGCGGCCTGGGTGAGGGCCCCTCTCAGAGCTCCCTCGCACTCTGGTGATAGCACGAGAGGCGTGGCTTGCTCCCAGCTCCCACTGCACGTTCTCGATCTTCCTGTCTTTACTTGGCTGGGGGAGGAGGAAAGAGGGAGGAGGGAAAAGGAGGAGGAGGATGAGGATGAGGAGAGGGAGGAGGGGAGGAGGGGAGGAGGGGAATCGGAAGGGTTAGGGTGAGAGGAGGGGGAGGAGGAGGAGGAGGAGGAGGAGGAGGAGGAGGAGAAGGAAGAAGAGTAGGAGGAGGAGGACATCAAAGGGGGTGGGGAGTAGGAGGAGGAGGAGGAGGAGGAGGAGGAGGAGGAGGAGGAAGAGAAGGAGGATGAAGAGGAGGAGGAGGAGAGAGGAGGGGTGAGGATGAGGATGAGGAGGAGGCGAGGAAGAGGAGCTGGAAGAGGAGGAGGAGAATGAGGATCATGTTCATGATGATGATAGCAATGATGATGATGATGATGATGATGATGATGATGATGATGATGATGATGATGGTGATGATGAAGGTGATGAAGATGATGCTGGTGTTGATGACGATAATGCTAATGGTAATGGTGATGCTGATGATGATGCTGATGATGATGACGACGATGGTGATGCTGATGGTGATGCTGATGCTGATGCTGATGCTGATGCTGATGCTGATGCTGATGCTGATGCTGATGCTGGTGATGATGATGATGATGATGATGATGATGATGATGATGATGATGATGATGATGATGATGATGATGATGATGATGATGGTGGTGGTGGTGGTGGTGGTGGTGGAGGTGGTGATGACAGCCAATCCCCTGGAGCGCGATATGTTGGACTGGCGACGCAGAAACAATCACAAAATATTACTACGCGGACGCTGCACGCGGATCCAACGCCCCAGCGCCTGGGACCGCCGCCAGGACCAGGTCTGCCAGCCGCGCCACCAGCGCGCTGGGCACCCGCGAGGCGATCTGCCGCGCGTGGTCTGCCCGCCCGGCTCGCCGGGCAGCGTCGCCACGCGGCGGGCCGCCGCCGTGGTCTCTGCGATGCACTGCTGTGCTGCCGTGCCCGGCGAAAGGCACGACCGCGGCGCCGTAGGGGTCGCGCTTCTGGCGCTCCGCGTCCGCCGCTATCGTGGCCGGCCCCGGCTCCGCGGCCGAGCAGACCGTGACGTCGACCCACGCCAGTGCCGGGGCGCCCGGCCAGCTGACGACCACGTCCATACGCGCCTGCTCGATGACGCCGCCCTCGTGCACGATGATGGTGATGATGGTGATGCTGATGATGATGGGAATGATGATGATGCTGATGATGATAAAGATGGTGGTTGTGGTGATGCGGATGGAGATGGTGATAATGATGATGATGAAGATGGTGATGATGTTGATGATGATCGTGATGGTGATGGTGATGGTGATTGTGATGGTGATGATGGTGATGATGATGATGGTGATGATGATGATGACGACGATATGATGATGATGATGATGATGATGATGATGGTGATGGTGATGGTGATGGTGATGGAGATGGTGTGACGATGATGATGATGAAGATGATGATGAAAATGGTGCTGATAATGAAAAGGAGAAATGGAGACGAAGAAGGAATAAAAATAAGAATAAGAAAGGTGAGAATAATAGCGTGAAGGGAACAAAAACAGACGGCCCAATGAGGGGTCAAGCGGGCCCCTGAACCTCCGACCTTGCGCGGGGCCGTGGAAAAAAAAGAAAAGTCATCAGAATAAGAAACTGCTGACGCATAAACTGTCGGACATCCGCGCTGGCTTGAGGGTCCAACGCCGATCCAAGGAATGCGCGCGGGGCTCAGGAAGTTTATGCTTATGCCCCTTGATCAACTTCGACTGCGGGCCAGTCTTCCCTCAGAGCGCGATCCGCTCTCGAGAGCTATCGAAAAAGGGGGTGGAATACGCTCTGGACGCTCACCGCCCCTACTAAGCTTGCTGTCGCCGTCCTCCTCCTCCTCCGCCTCGTATGCCTCCTGGCCCTCCTCGTCCTCCTCCATGGTATCCTGCTCATGCACGCTCACCCCCCCTCAACAAATGTTCTCGTGTTCCAACTTGGTGTAATCCGTTCTGGTCCTACTTGAGCGAACGCGGGCCACGCTCTCGAAGAATATCGAAAGCGCGGGGCGCGATTGTCGTCATTGACAAGAGGGGCTGGTGAAAAAGAGCCTGCTTCCAGTACTGGCAATGGTGAAACTTTCTACGATATTCAGATGTAGCACCATGGTGCACGTTTCCAGAATATCCACGCAGCCGCCGTGCCTGACTTAAACGGCCGCCAACAAGCGCAGTCCACAATTGGAGATCACCAAACACATGATTACATAAATCCCGATCGCCACGACATCGTTTCCGCACAGGCTTCACATCACCAAAAGCACAATCTGGAAATACCGGTGGCTCGGAGACAGCGTTATTTAGAGCACACCAGAGCCTGAATTCCAGGAAATGCCAAAAGAAAAGCAGCTTTGTGCAAATTCGACAAGCATAACAAGGAATTTCCCAAATCCCAGAATCGCGACACGCACGTACGGATAGTCCAAGTCTTCCACTGTCAGAGCGCAACCCCCTTCCACTGCCAATGCTCACATGCCAAGGCCATTCGAACGACATGCGCAGCTTTGTAATCACCAGGGCGACTTGCAACAGAAAAAGCAGAACGCGTTGTCGATAGCATCGAGACTCAAGCTCGTAACACCAGAACCCTTCAAACCGCTCCCCTTTTCCGACCTCACGGGCAACATGCTCGACGATGTCCGCTCCTCCTCCTCCTCCTCCTCCTCCTCCTCCTCCTCCTCCTCCTCCGCATCCTCCTATTGACCATCAGCATCATCATCATCATCATCAACAACAGCATCATCCTCATCAGCATCATCATCGTCATCGTCATCATCAGCATCACCATCATCATGACCAGCATCGTCATCCTCATCCTTCTGCTCCTCCTCATCCTCCTCATCCTCGTCCGCGTCATCATCATCAGCAGCATCATCAGCAGCATCATCACCTTTGTGGGTATCACCATCATCAACAATAGCATCAGCATCGGCATCGTCAGCAGCATCAGAATCATCATCACCATCATCACACGTATCAATATCACCATCATCACAAACAAGGTCAGCATCATCATGTGCACCATCATCAGCATCATCATCGACATCACCAACATCATCAGCAGCAGCACGATCATCATAATCAGCAGCAGCATCAGCAGCATCAGCATCAGCATCATCATCATCACCACCATCGTCATCATCATTATCATCGTCGTCCTCCGTTTCGTCGTCGCCCTCGTCGCTAGCATCACGCTATACTCACCCCTCCTGCTAGCGGAGAAGAGGAGATGAGACGAAACAAAAATGTTATGCCGCCTCCTCCTCCTCCTCCTTCATCGCCTCCTCGTTCTCCAACTCCTCTTCCTCCTCCTCCTCCTCCTCCTCCTCCTCCTCCTCCTCCTGGAGGAAGAGTAGAAAGATCGTCCTCACCACCAGCATCGAGGCGGGATCCAGCACCTGTCCGAACACCACGTGCTTGTTGTCGAGCCAGTCGCACTTGTTGCACGCCATGAAGAATTGGCAGCCGTTGGAGTTGGCCCCGCTGTTGGCCATGGACAGCAAGCCAGGCTTGTCGTGCTTCAGAACAAAGTTCTCGTCGGGGAACCGCTCCCCGAAGATGCTCAGGCTGCCCGTACCGTCGCCCTTCACGAAGTCACCGCCCTGGATCATGAAGTCCTTGATGATGCGGTGGAAGGTGCAGTTCTTGTACCCGATCGGCACCTTGTTGAGCTTGAACTCCCCAGTGCACAGCTGCCTGAAGTTCTCGGCCGTCTTCGGCACCACGTCGCGGAACAGCTCCATCTTGATGCGGCCAACTGGGTGACCTCACCCACACCCCCGACGAGCTCTCACAACGTGGGCCCGGAGCTCTCTCGGGAGCGGCCAAGAGGGGGGGTGTCCAAGAGGGGGGGGTGCAAATCATAACCGGCGGCATGTGCGCGGCCCAGCGGGGGGGCCAGGGACGTAATGAAACAAGAAGAGGCGCCATGAAATCTGGGGAAATATCATGGCCCTCGCCATGATATCCACCCCCCCTAGTCATCCCCCCCTCTTTTCCGCCCCCGACTCTCACAACGTGGGCCTGGAGCTCTCGACCCCATCCCTGGGACGGGTCCCCATCACCGGTCATGCCCTGACAGCCCCAAGGCCCAGAAGCGAGCCTGCACGGACCGAGCCCAGAGAAACCGGATGCCGTGAGCTGCGAAGACGCGGGAGCACTTGGCTGAGGTCGGGCGTGTCCCCCTGCAGGCGGATTTTAGAGGATAAATGAAAGATTGCCCAAAAATCTTCAACAATGGTCACAAATTGCAACAAAAAGTTCAAATCGTCCAAGAATATGTTTTGATTTCTTGTTCATATTCCACCTGTAGAGGGACACGCACGACTTACCACTTGGCCCCCCATGCAAGCTGGCGCCCGATCGGCCCCCCGAGCCCTCTCGGGCGCCACACCGATGGGCCTGTCGAGCCGAGCCCAGCCATTGCCACGCGGGCCCCTCAGGCGGACGAAGACCAATTGTTTGTATGGAAACTCCTCCTCCTCCTCCTCCTTCTACTCCTCCTCAACCTCCTCCTCCTCCTCCTCCTCCTCCTCCTCCTCCTCCTCAACCTCCTCCTCCTCTCCTCTGGAAACTCCCCTGTGCGCACCAGCCGACTTTTTTCACCACGACGACCCCCAGAGTCCTGGACCCCTTCCGCAGGACCGGCCTCTCGCCCTGAGTCGGCTCTTGACGGCCCTGGGCCCGGCGAGGGCCCCGAGAGGCCGAGAAGATGGCGAGAAGCCTCCCGCCGTGACTTCTGCTCGCAACGCGAGGGGGGTCTGGGCCAAACACGCCAGAGTTAGGTCGGGCGTGTCCCCCCACAGGGGGATATTCGACGAAAAATAAAAAATGCCCGAAGAATAATCAAAAAAGAATCCAAAAATAGTCTGGGGACTATTTTTTTTTAAGTACTGTTTTACCTTTTGGGGCTATGTTTGGGGTATTTTTCATTGTTCGTCGAAAATCCCCCTGTAGGGGGACAGGCCCGACATAACGCCAGAGGTCTGGGCCTCCGATCGAGATGTCGAAGAAGACCACCGGGTTGTCGGGGTGCCTCTGCGGCCGGTGCTCCGCCACCTGCGTCGCCATGGCCGCCCCGCCGCCTCGACGGAGCGGCACGGGCAGCCCGCGGCGCCCCCCCCCCGACGCCCCTGAGCCCAAGAGGCGCCAGTCACGCGAGGGGGTTCGAGGAGGAGGAGGAGGAGGAGGAGGAGGAGGAGGAGGAGGAGGAGGGTGAGCAGGAAGATAAGGAGGAGAAGGGTAAGGAGGAAGAGGAGGGCTTCGAGGCAGAGAAAGAAGAGGAGGAGGAGGAGGAGGAGGAGGAGGGTACGGAGGGTAAGGATAAGGGCTTCGAGGAGGAGGAGGAGGAGGAGGAGGGTGAGGAGGAAGACAAGGAGGAGAAGGAGGAGGGGCCATTTTGGCTGAAGCCACCACCACCCTGACGCCCCTGACCCCTGCGCGCCACGCGGGAGCCAGGAGACGCCCACGCCACCCCTGCCTCAAGTTTGTCCATCGGCCCTCCAGAATCAAGAGAAAATCGGAAGAGGGGGGACCGAACCTGTTTCGGGAGTCTCGATCCCCATCGGGTCTCCAAAGGCGTGTAGGGTCTCCGGGGAACCTGCGAGGGTCTGGATCTGAGGCGGATGCAAAACCTCACGCGCCCCCGCCACGAAATCCACCTCCACTTCCGCATCATTATCATCATCACCATCATCATCATCATCATCATCATCATCATCAGCAGCAGCATCATCAGCAGCATCATCACCACCAGCACAACCACAACCATCACCATCATCTGCACTACCATGCCCAACAATAACAACAACGACAACCATAACAACATCATCATAAGCAGGCATCATCATCAGCAGCAGCATCACTAGCTAGCGTCATCAACATCATCACCATCATCATCAGTGTTGTTAACAGCAACGCTATCGTCAACACCACAACCAACATCATCATCAGCATAATCAGCATCCAGCATCATTGTCGAATCATCCTCATCATCAGCATCATCATTATCATAATCGTGATCATCTTCATCATCGCCATCGTCGTCATCATCATCACCATCATCATCATCATCATCATCATCATCGTCATCACAAGCAGTGTCTTGCTTAACGTCGTCGTCTTATCATCCTCGTGCTCACCCCCATCATCCCATAATCCTCATCACCTCCACCATCATCATCAGCATCAGCACCATCAGCGTCATCACTACCATGTTCATCGTCAGATTCATCTGCACCTTCAGCATCATCATTAATCATAATCCGCATCGTCAACATGGTCGTCAACATCATCATCGTCATCATCATCATCATCACCATCATCATTATCAGCGGCAACAGCAGCATCATCACCATCACCAACATCTTGGTCATCATTGTATCATGTTCCTCCTCCTCGCCATCATCATCACCAACACCATCACCATCACCATCACCATCACCATCACCATCACCATCACCATCACCATCACCATTCATCATCATCATCATCATCATCATCATCATCATCATCATCATCATCATCATCATCATCATCATCATACTGTTCCTTTCCACCACGCCCGCCCAGCACACGTGTTCCACGTCGTCCTGCTGCTCCTCCTTCTCCCCTCCTCCGCCTCGCTTGCACATAGGGCCATCTGACTCCATGTCTCACTGCAGGGGGAAGTTGAAACTGTTGTATTGCTTAGAGCTGCCCTGGGAGACTCGTCGTGTCGTGCCTTGTCTCCTCCTCCTCCTCCTCCTCCTCCTCCTTCTCCTCCTCCTCCTCCTCCTCCTCCCTCCTCCTCCTCCTCCTCCTCCCCCCTCCTCCTCCTCCTGCTCCTCCCTACCCCTCCTGCTCTTCCCTCCGACTCCCTCCTCCTCCAGCTTATCCTCCTCATCGTCCTCCTCCTCGGCCATTTCCCATCCAGGTCGGCTGCCCCCTCCGCGGCCCGCCGGGATGCCTCCGCCAGCAAACTCACGAGTGGCACTGCTGGCGGGAGCCGAGCACCACGGAAGGCGCCTTTCCTCTGTTCGAGCCGCTGGCCTGGCTGATGCGCTGGCTGCGAAGACGTGGGGTGTCCGGAGCGGCCTGCGAGCCCAAGAAGGGCGAAGCGGCAACTCGGCTGCCAGCTTTGACGAGGCTCGGCGTCCCCGATCGGTGGCACAGCGTCGAGCTCGCGAACGGCTGCAAGGGATGGAGGGGCCGGCAATCAGCCTGGGCCGGGCAGGCGGCGGTGTGCTTAGCTGGTGGGCCAAGTGCACAGCGTGACGGTGCGCCAAAACTGGAGCTGAGGGCTGAGCCTGGCCAAGGCCCAAATGGCAAGCAAGGCAGGCGCGGGGCAGCTCTCCTACATTAGACGGCGACTGCTGTTATTTTTGTAAGTGTAGCAGTTATCATACGTTGGAGCTGCTGCGTTTCGATCCTTAGTATTCCTTGTCCGTGTGATGGCATGTGTAATGAGTTTGTTTCAACCGTCTACGTTCTCGCTTGGTGTAACTACCGCAGCCAATTGCACCGCATGTTGTCTTTCTGTGTCGCTCTCGTGGCAGTCACGTGCATTGCTGTTGGTGGGACCTCAATTTCAATTCACTCGTCTTATACAACGCTATAACGCATCCATTTGGCAGGCAGTGCACGTCCTTTTCTTCGCTCAGTTGGTGCGGGCACGCCATGTTCATCTGCCGGGACGTCCACGGGCTGACTGAGGCGTATGCAACGAGGAGCGGTACAATCAGGGAACCCTATGCAGATGCAAGGGTTCAGCGAGCTTTCACTGCTCGGCCCTGTGGTGGCCTTCTGAGAAGCCCCCGCGGCCTTCGGAGAAGGCCTGCTCCTTCTCGTTCCCCCCCTCGCTCGCCGCCGAGAGGTAAACACAGAAACAGTGAACACGATGCTCGGTTCGGACGGAAGGGTGTTTTTCTTCGCAGAGGGCCCCTCTTGACCTCGCGCGCCCCTCGCACGACGGCGAGGAGGCAAGGGAGAGGAGGAGGAAGACCAGGCCGAGGGAGAAGCGACGACCGGCCCAAAGGCGACGGACGGGGAAGGGGGTGACAGCAGAGGGGGGGCACGGTCGGGAACGTCTTTGCCTGGAGCGTCGCTCCGCCGGCTCTGGCCCACAACGTTTCGGCGCGACACGCCATCCAGGGAGGAGGGAGAGGGAGGAGGGAGGAGGGAGGGGGAGGAGGAGGAGGAGGAGGAGGAGGAGGAGGAGGAGGAGGAGGAGGAGGAGGAGGAGGGAGGAGGGAGGAGGGAGGAGGGACGAGGGGGGAGGAGGAGGTCTCCAGGAGGATGACCGGGTCGGAAGGAGAGGGGATGATGGCAAAGGGTGGCACGGAAACAATGGACAAGATGATCGGGTCGGACAGAACAGGGTGATACGGTCAAAACTGATAGTAGAGATGCGCGGTAAGGATGCAAGCCCCGTGTACGCCCATGTCGAGGCTCTTCGAACGGGGCCGGCCATCGGAAGTGGTGAAGGATGGGCCGAAGAGGCAAGGATGCAAGGCTAACTACCCTTGGGAAGGTTACCCATCCCTATCACCGACTTCGACTGCAGCACAGGGGGGCTACGGTCGGGATCATTCGCATGGCATGCCGCGGCGGCGGCCCCAGCGACGCGCTATACCCTGCGAGTCGCTGGCGTGTCGCTCCGCTCCCCGCGGGAGGCTCGGGAAGGCTCAGGACGCGGTCGCCTGGGGACAGGGACGTGGACGGCGGGTCGCCCGAAGCGTGGTGGGCCAGAACTGGCGGAGCGACACGCTGACTGAAAGTTCCCGACCGTAGCGAATCAGCTCACGTAGCCAGTTTTCCCCGCGCCCCCCAGCGCAGGAGGCGCACATGTATCGAGGGACGCCCCCCGCCGCGGGGCCAGAACCAGCTGCGCGCGGCAGATGTCGTGCCCGCCTTTTCCCTATTCCCCCCTCTTCGTCCGACTCGAGGGGTGTGCACGGAAAAATGGCACGATGTGCAACAGCAGGTTGCTGTCCCAATCCGACAGCGGGCGCTATTGGGCAGGCGACCTCTTGTCTCGAGTGGGCAACGTCCGAGGCAGCACCGAGAGCGTATCCTGTAAACTAGACAGGTGCTGCTGTCAGCCACCACGCTTTCCGTACCTACTTCGATCCTGCAGGTCAAGGGGGTCAGGGCTTGACGCCGACTCACGCCCAAGTCCGCCGACTCCCACTTGTCGGCGCGGACGAAGGGGGGGAGCAACGGGGGGGTCAGTTTCTCCTGGCGCCTCCCGGCGCCAGAGGTGCCCAGTCAGGCCGAATCAGCTGGATGCACTGGTTTTCGTACATACACGCCCTACTTTCCCCGCCCCCCCCTTCCGACCGACCCGAGCTTGCTGGGGGGAAACTGCGTGTGAGATTTCTGGCTGACTCCCCAGCCCCCGCTCCCCCCAACCCCCCTCCACTGGAATCCTGGGTTCCCAGGGAGCCCGGGGGGAGGGGGG